AGCTTTTGGAAGGAGATGAATACTGAAAGGTTATAACTCGCTTTTGTTTGCAATTGGAGGCTAATCCAGGAGATAGAAGTGGACTATGGAGCCCGTTTAATGGGGGTTAGTGATCCGAAGGGCTGTAAAGCTTGGTGTACCAGCTCTTACGTCTCACGCTTTTGTCTGATCTGAAATCAATTCTTGGTTCTCCATCCAGTCGCTGCTCTCACAACTTCTCAGAAGGCATTACCTGAAAGCTCGAGCCTTCATTAATCTAATGAGTGAAAACGAGACCTTTGCTAATGGCTTCCCCTAAGATGCCTTTGTCAAGGGCTGCTGAAGTAGGCAAATCTGTTTAGATAACGTGTTGGTGACACCGAGAGGTAACGGAGTGGTTGATGCCTACAGGATAGCATTGGTCAGCCGCAGGCTGTGCCTCTCGTGTTGACATTGAGCCTCGTCACCTTGAGCTCTCCCTGTGTGTTGTTCCCTCAGTCAGCTCCTTTGTGAGATGATTGATCTCCAACGTAGGTCATTTTTCAAGTTACAGATCTTGTCGATCCGTCTGGCTCCACCTACATGCAGTGATTCAGCTCCTGATGTGCTGGAATACTCCCTTAAACCTTCCCACACACAGTGAGGACTTGTTCTCTGTTTCTCCAAGCTGCACCACCTCTCCTGCACTGGGCTCAGAGCCTGGATTGTTTGCATGTGCTTGAAGAGCAGTGCAGAAAACAGTTTGGTCTCCCAAAGAGTCAGAGGAGCAGCTACAGGAGTTCTTTGGAAGTTATTTTCCCCAGCCCTAAACTTTGGATCCCATTTGTAGCATTTGGCTCATGTGCTGTGAAGTAGGCAAATGGATAAATGATGGGAGTTTTGGTTTGGGATGGGCAGGTCCCCGTCCCCCCCCCACCATGTGTTCAGTAATCCCCTCTTTAAGGGTTGGTCTACAAAAGGCTGCTCTTTATAGCAGAAGAAATACTCTGGTTAAGGTGTTGTAACTTCTGCCTTTGCCCACTTGGCCTGGAGTGAGGGTGGCTGTTGTAAATGGTACTCGGGGAAGTAGGGCTTTTGGAGCTGTGGTGATACTCATGACTCTGCTGTGAGTATATTGCTCTGTTTCCCCTTGCAGAAAAAGGCTTCATGGGCTGTTAGACCTCTGCTTTGCTTTAGTCCAGTGTTCTTTAATTCCCTGTGCATCTCCAGAGGGTTGTACTGGTCATCCTGGGGGGCATCTTTGTTCTGTGGATGGTCAGAGACCATCTGGCAATCCCCATTACAGGCAGCATGATTTAGGGGCAGCAGGAAGAGGCAGCTGAAGCAATTGTGAGTGATCCCTGATGGGGAAACGGGGGAACCACATGGAGGGGTTGGGCTTGGGAGCAGCAGGCAAGGATCTGCTCTCTTGGAAGCTGGCTCTTCTCTGTGGTGTTCTGGTAAAGAAATGGAGCTGTGTCAGATAACTTTGGTGAACACTGAAGGTGGATTATACAAAACAGAAGACACAAGTCTCTTAAACCTGTTCATCATCCCACGTTAAAACCCCCAAACCCAAAGGCAGCTTGGTGTCAGGAGTGAAATGAAGAATCCAAGCCGAAAGCATGAGCAGGTTCTGAAAACAAACCAGCTCATGGACACAGCATCTGCAAAACAAGTTTGCCAGAGGCACTTAAAATAACAGCTGGCAGCATCTTTGGGTGTTTCTGGGTGTTGTGAAGTGCCAAAAGGACCGAGGCAGCACAGAGCAGGCAAAACCAGCAGTGTCTGGAGAGAACACTGCCGTTGCTGAGGTGGATTTCAGAGCTCACATCCATGAGGTGGTGATGCGGTGGCAAGGAGCGTGTTAGAACTGGGAGCAGCTCGTAAGGGAGGGGTTGCACTGTTGGGTCTCCAGTCATGCAGAACCCACTGTTTTCAGTAGTTCAGTGGGGCATCCCAATTTACTCTGTTAGATATTTGGGGCAGTGAGAGGGGGAAATGTCTCGCAGCCAGCTTGTGCGGCTCAAATTGCTTCTACCACATCTGTGCCTGGAGGAGAAGCTTCGATAGGTGTGAACTCTCCATAACACACCTGGAGCCAGCTCCTGGAACAGCTCTGGTCATGGGGAAGACACGTCTGAAGTGGGAGGATTCCCAGAGCTGCAATCAGGTCAATGCACCTGTGTAAGCATGGAGGAGGATGGATGGACATGGACAGAGCTCCATCAGATCGAGCCTTGAGGTCAATGCACCTGTAAGCATGGAGGAGGATGGATGGACATGGACAGATCTCCATCAGATTGAGCCATGAGGTCAATGCATCTGTAAGCATGGAGGAGGATGGATGGACATGGACAGATCTCCATCAGATTGAGCCATGAGGTCAATGCATCTGTAAGCATGGAGGAGGATGGATGGACATGGACAGATCTCCATCAGATTGAGCCATGAGGTCAATGCACCTGTGTAAGCATGGAGGAGGATGGATGGACATGGACAGATCTCCATCAAACTGAGCCATGAGGTCAAAGCATCTGTAAGCATGGAGGAGGATGGATGGACATGGACAGATCTCCATCAGATCAAGCCATGAGGTCAATGCATCTGTGTAAGCACGGAGGAGGATGGATGGACACGGACAGATCTCCATCAAACTGAGCCATGAGGTCAATGCACCTGTGTAAGCACGGAGGAGGATGGATGGACACGGACAGATCTCCATCAGATCAAGCCATGAGGTCAATGCACCTGTGTAAGCATGGAGGAGGATGGATGGACACGGACAGATCTCCATCAGATTGAGCCATGAGGTCAATGCATCTGTAAGCATGGAGGAGGATGGATGGACACGGACAGATCTCCATCAGATCAAGCCATGAGGTCAATGCATCTGTAAGCATGGAGGAGGATGGATGGACATGGACAGATCTCCATCGAACCGAGCCATGAGGTCCCTGCACTTCCTCTGCTGCAGCCAGACAGCAGGAGCTGGGGAAGGGGCACTGCCAGGACCTCTGCAGGTAAAACAGGAGGGGAAGGAGCTGGTTCCCTGTTCTCATGACAGCAGCTCAAAGGTGCTGGGTTTAGTTGGCAAGTAAGAGAAATGGGAAGTGAGGAGGCAGTTCCTGCTGGCTGTTGGCTTGCTGGAAAGATCCCATGGGAGTTTGTGGTGACTTGTTCAGAGCATCAGAAGGTGAAAGTCCCTTTCCATAGGGAGGTGCACCAGTGGAAGGACCAAACGTGGAGGCACGAGGACAGCCCATGTGGCTCATGTGTTTGGGCCACTAAGCAGCAGGAGTTAATGAGTCAGTGTTTCCCAGGATCTGTGAAATGTGAATGAAGTGGGGTGGTTTCTAAACTTGTGGTTCTTACAATTAAACCCAGTCCCAAGCTGAACGGTTGAATTGGTCCCAAAGGCAGCGACTGGGAAGGACCCTGATGTGAGAAGTGAGAGTTGGAAGCTTGAGAAGGGGTCCTGTGGAACTGGAGCATCTGGGCATTAGAGGTAACGGGTGAGCTTGACAGTTGGTCTCTATTGTTACGATGCAGCAGTGTGCTGTGCTGTCACTGCCAGGAAGGGTTCCATAAAGCTCTGACTGTGGAAGGTCATAGAATCCCAGCCTGGTTTGGGTTGGAAGGGACCTTAAAGCTCCTCCAGCTCCAACCCCTGCCACGGGCAGGGACCCCTTCCACTGGAGCAGCTTGCTCCAAGCCCCTGTGTCCAACCTGGCCTTGAACACTGCCAGGGATGGGGCGGGCATAGTGGTGTGTCACCACCACTGTAACCTGGAGGAAGGAAATAACCCTCAGGTACCTAAACCGTGCCTGTTCTGCAGCTCCGTCCTTTCAAGCGCTTGATAAATCACAAGTGGGAGGGAGCAATGATGGAGGGATGGACAGATGGAGTTAGGGAGGGATGGGTGGATGGATAGAGGGATGGATGGACGGGTGGAGGGATGGATGGGTAGAGGGATGGATGGATGGATGGATGGACGGACGAATGGGTGGGTGGATGGATGGACAGGTGGATTCATGGATGGATGGATGGACGGAGGGATGGAGGGATGGATGGACAGATGGACAGACGGGCGAATGGGTGGATGGATGGATGGATGGACAGGTGGAGGGATGGATGCATGGGTGGATGGATGGGCAGGTGGGTTCATGGATGGATGGTTGGATGGATGGAGGGATAGGAACATCCCACCCGGGTGCTGCCAGTTGCTGCTGCAGCTCCACCGCTCCACTCTTGCTCTCAGCATCCTGCTCCGCGCCTTCTCCTGCCGGGACCTTGCGGAGCCGCCACCGCCGCGGTGTGAAGAGCCGGGTACCGGCAGAGCAGCTCCGCGCCCGCCCTCCTCGGTGCGGGATCCGCACCTTCGCCATAGGAAGCAGGGTGGAGCGGAGGGGGTGTCCCGGTGCCCCAGCCCCCCCATTCCCCGTGCCCCCCCCCCCATTCCCGGTGCCCCCCCATTCCCGGTGCCCCATTTCCCATTCCCGGTGCCCCCCCCATTCCCGGTGCCGTCCTCCCCATTCCCCGTGCCCCCCCCCCCCCATTCCCGGTGCCCCCCTCCCATTCCCGGTGCCCCCTCCCATTTCCCATTCCCGGTGCCTCCCCCCATTCCCGGTGCCGTCCTCCCCATTCCCCGTGCCCCCCCCCCCAATTCCAGGTGCCCCCCCCCCATTCCCGGTGCCCCCTCCCATTTCCCATTCCCGGTGCCCCCCCCCCCCCCATTCCCGGTGCCCCATTCCCGGTGCCCCTCCCATTCCCGGTGCCCCCCCCCCCATTCTCGGTGCCCCTCCCCCATTCCCCGTGGCCCCCCCCCCCCCCATTCCCGGTCCGTTCCCTGCGCTCCCGGAGGGGGGGGCGGGGCTTCCTCCCCGAGGGGGTTGGGCCATGGTGTGGGGGGGGAAGGGGTGTGGGCGTGTCCCGTGCTTTGCGCCTGCGCTCTGCGGGGCGCGGCCCCCATTGTCGGGGCGGGGTGACGTCGGGGCGGGGCGGGGCGCGGCGGGGGCGCGCGCGCGGGGAAGGCGGCGTGCGGCGGGCACCGGCACCGCCCCGGCCAGACCGCGCCATGCCCGGCTCCCTCTACCAGCCCGAGGGCGGGCAGCCCGGCCGCGGCCCCCCGCGCTGCCTGGCGCTGCTGAGCCCAGCGCCGCCCGCAGGGCAGGAGCCGCCCGAGCCCGAGCCCGGCCGGGAGGTGCCGGTGCCGCCGCCGCCGGCAGCAGCAGCAGCAGCAGCGCAGGGTGAAGCCGCCGCCCTGAGGTTCGCCCTGGATCAGCTCTCGCTGCTGGGGCTGGAGGAGCCGGAGGCGGGCGGCGCGGGCACGGAGGAGGCGGCGGCGGGCGGAGGCGCGGGGCCGGGCGGCCTGCAGGCGCGGGAGCGCGGTGGTGGTGGTGGTGGCGGCTCCCCCCCGGCCACCGGTACCGCCTCCCCCCCGGCCGCCTTCGGTAACTTCGGGCCGCACCTCGCCGCGCCCGCCGCGCTGCTGGAGCCGCTGGGCGCCCTGGGGAGCAGGAAGAAGAGCGTGAACATGACCGAGTGCGTGCCCGTGCCCAGCTCCGAACACGTCGCCGAGATCGTGGGCCGCCAAGGTAACACCGCCCATCACCGCGGGTCCGCCTCAGGCACCCCCCGGCCCGCGTTATTTGGGTCAGTTTGGGGGCTTTGTCTCCGTGCCCGGTAACGCGGAGGCGGAAACTTAACGGCGGCAAATCCCGCGGGCCTCAAACTCCTCCCGCGGGTTCTCGGGGCTGCTCCGCTTTGTGCCGGTCCCCACCGCGCCGGCTCTGAGCGTGAATCAAAGCCGAATCCGGAGCGAGGAAACCGGTTGCGGGGTTGGGGGGGGATGATCAAGCCCTCGGTGCTCACGGGAAGTTCCCGTGGAAGCTGCTGGGTTTATTGTAGTTGGGTCCTCCCGTCTCAACCCGGCTGCTCCGCTGTTGTAAGCGGTACCGCGGGCTCTCGGTGGATCAATGATCGTTAATCCGGCCGTTGATGGGGAGCCCTGAGCTGTCACCAAAGGACACCTGGGCACGGCTCAGCCCCAGCCCATGGTGGGTGTGCCTGGTGCGGGCTTTGTCTGGAGGAAGCCCCAAATAGCGCTGCACCGAAGTTCCACCGTTAGGAAATAAGAATCACGGTTGAAAAAGACCCAAAAGGAGGGGGATTTAAGGGGCGGGGGGGTGGGAAGGGAATAAAAGGGACAGGAGCTGCTGCCTGCAGGAATGCCAGCGGCGATGGGCAGTTGGGATGCAGGGAGCCTGACCTCTGGGGTGGTTTTGCCACGCAGGACTCTGGCACCCCAACCCTGCCCTGACCCCCCCCCCGGCCATCCCCATCCTCAGCCGTGGGGCTGCGGGATAAGGGGCTTCGGGGGGGATTCTTTTCCTAGGGGGAAGCGGGGAGCTGGGCAGCCTCATTGTTCTCTTTGTTAGCCAGAGCCATGCTGTGATGAGCGTGGTGACATCATGCTCTGCGCTTCCCATTGGCCTGCGCCGCCTCCCAGCCGGCCCCGCTTCCCAACCTCCCAACTTTCCACGCACCCCTCACCGGTCCCACCACCCTCATGCCGGTGCCGGCCCAAACCGGGGCCCCCAAAGCCCGTTATAGCACCGGAGGAGAGGAGCGAGACGCAGTGCCCTGCTCCGGAGGATGCTGCTGCTGCTGCTGCCTGGGCTGGATGGGGACATGGATTTGGTGGGATTTGCAGAACCAGCAGCTTGAAAGCAAACCCGTAACGGATGCTGGCCTCCATTGGGAAACGTTTTGGCTCTGCGAGCTCAAGGAGGTTGGAGGAATGGCTGCTTTCGGGTTGGCGGGTGGCATCCTTCCTCGCAGCAGCTGGGGTCGGGTGTTTGGGCTGTGGTGAGGTCCCAGTGCTGCGCCTCCAGCATCCTGACAAGCTCAGCGTGCTCCAAGGTACCTGCCCCGCATCCCTCCTGCAGTTTGGGTGCTTGCTGAGCCCCACAGGCTCATGGGGCTGCTGGAAAAGAGCTGCCAAAGGGGTGATTCCAACCGGGATGCTGGGGTTGGGGTCTGAGACCAGCGATGGACCAGAGCCACCCACCCCCTGCTGCTGCCTCAACCCATAGGCAGGAGCTGCTCCCCCGGGGGTTTTCCCTCCCTTGTTTCCTGCTCTCAGCTTTCCTGTGGCTCATGAAGACCCCACATCAGGTCCCTGCTGTGTTGGTTGTTGGGCATGAAGGGGAGGGCTCAGCGTTTGGCATTCCCAGCTCTGGCAGGGGCTGTGCATGGGATGGGGCATGTGTGGAGTCTTTTAACTCCAGTTGCTCTGCCCCCTGCACTCTTCTTGCACCACACAGCCCAGCCGTGTCCTGGGAGCAGGCGCTTGTGATGCTGCTGCACTCAGAGCATAGGAAGGGGTAGGCATGGGGAGCAGGTGCCCTGGAAGGGTTTGGGGCAGGGGTTTCTCTCCCCATACATCATGTGCTGAGGGGTGCTTTGGTCCTGGTGGCCCCTTGCAGCCATTGAGCAGAGTCAGGATGTGGCCGGGGCAGCTCTTTGGTGTCAGTCCTATGAAGGCTGTCAGATGCTTCTCCTTTTTCTTCCGTTTTTGTTGGGTTTTTTTCCTCTAAATCCACTCATTTACCACTTTCCAGAAGGGAGCAGCAGCTGCTCAGCAGGTAAATGTTGTGTAAAGCAGATCCGTGTCTTCTTGGCTCCTTTCCCAGGGGAAAATGGAGAGAGGGATAATGGGGCAGGCTGGCTATTGAAGTTGCCCTGGCTCTTGCATGTCAGCGTTGTGTCAGCCTCGCTCCCTGGTGTCCTGGCTTTGGAGGTGGGTTTCCAGCAGCTTCTGCCCAGTGAGGCTATAGGAGGTGATGGGCTCTGCTCTCACCTCTGACACCACGTGCCTCTGATGGGATGGAGCCAGCCATGGCTTCTCTCCTGGGCTCTGCTTCCCCATCTGCAACACGGATACACAGGGACCATGTGCAGCTTTGCGAAGGATGTGGGAAGGCTGCTGTTCATAGAAGGTGTTGGGATGCTCAAAGGGGGGATCCAGAGAAGGATGCACGTGGAGACAACAGGGCTTGGTCCCTGGGCCAGCCTGAGCATCTGTAAACTTGCTGTGGGGTGCTGGGGCTGCCATCAGTCCCTTTGTGTTCCTCAGCACTGGGCTGCTGCTGGGTGTCCTGTGCCCATCCTGCCACAGCCTTTGAGACTGGCCTGGCTGCTGCTTTCCACCTCTCTGGGTTGTGGGAGAGCCGGGAACTCCAGGGGGGATTTGTGTCGGTTTCCCAGGACATGAAGGGGCTAAGAACTGGATGAGCTTTAACGTCCCTTGGCCTGTCCCTACATCCCTTGTCTCAAGCCCCTTTCCAGCTTTCCTGCAGCCCCTTCAGGCACTGGAGCTGCTCTCAGGTCTCCCCTTCAGGAGCCTTCTCTTCTCCAGGCTGCCCCAGCCCAGCTCTCTCAGCCTGGCTCCAGAGCAGAGCTGCTCCAGCCCTCGCAGCATCTCCAGGGCCTCCTCTGGTCTCTCTCCAGCAGCCCCACGTCCCTTTTGTGCTGCTGCCCCAGAGCTGGATCAGGGCTGCAGCCCAGCACACGGGGGGGTTCAGTGGCTGCGTCATGGGGAGCTTCTGCTCACCCAGCATCCCAAGGCCCTCTCAGGGCTGCATCCTCAGGATGCAGAGGCACTTCCATGCACGCTTCCCCAGCCTGTGCTGGGCTTTTGCAGGATCATAGAATGGTTTGGGTTGGAAAGGACCTTAAGATCATCCAGTTCTGAGCCACAAATGGGCTCTTGTAATAGTTGTGGCCCTGATCTGGGGCTTGTGATAGAGAGCAAAGTCCTCTTTGGTGGTGCCAAGAGAGAGCGTTCAGGAAGAGCAGCTTGCCCCTTCCATCACCACCTCCTTCCAGCAGGAATTCCCGTGGGATTCTGCTTCTTGGCTGCAACTGGGGCCTCCTCAGCCTGTCTGGTGCTGGGACAGGACCAGCCGTGGTCCTGCAGCCCCATGGGGCAGCTCTGGGGCACGGAGCATGCTGGGGTGGGTAGCTCAGAGCTGGCCACAGTCAAAGGGAAGGGTGCACATCCGAGATGGGAGCTCCCCACCTCCATGGGTGCTGTCTGTGGGGTTGGTGCGAGGGGCTGTGACTCGGTGGGGTTGTGTTTGCACCTCGGCTTTGCCCCCTCTCATCATTAATGCTGGGCACGGCCTTTGGGGCAGTGCAAACGTTGGGAATGGCAAAACCACGGCCCCTTGGTTGAGGCAGGGCTCTTGAGCTGGCAGTGCCACTGAGGATGTGCCTGCGCTGGGGCCGGCAGTCAGTGATGCCCATGTCCTCTGCACAGCCCCGTCTGGCACAGCCCCTTCCAGCAGGGATCTGCTGCACTGACTGGGTAAGGATGCAACGGTCGGGGCTGTGGTTGCACAGCTTGGGTAGGGGCTTGTGGGGACCCATAGGAATCATCCCATACTTGTGGGGATCACAGGATCCTGGCCTGGGTTGGGTTGAAGGGACCTTAAAGCTCCTCCAGCTCCAGCCCCTGCCATTGGGACCCCTTCCACTGGAGCAGCTTGCTCCAAGGCCTTGAGCACTGCCAGGGATGGGGCAGCCACAGCTTCTCTGGGCACCCTGTGCCAGCGCCTCAGCACCCTCCCAGGGAAGAGCTTCTGCCTAAGAGCTCAGCTCAGTCTCCCCTCTGGCAGGTTCAAGCCATTCCCCTTGGCCTGTCCCTACAGGCCCTTGTCCCAAGCCCCTCTCCAGGTTCCCTGCAGCCCCTTCAGGCACTGGAGCTGCTCTCAGGTCTCCCCTTCAGGAGCCTTCTCTTCTCCAGGCTGCCCCAGCCCAGCTCTCTCAGCCTGGCTCCAGAGCAGAGCTGCTCCAGCCCTCGCAGCATCTCCATGGCCTCCTCCGCGTCCCTCTTGTGCTGCTGCCCCAGAGCTGGATCAGGACTGCAGGGGGGGGGTCTCCCCAGAGCGCAGCAGAGGAGCAGGATCCCCTCCCTGAGCTGCTGCTCCCGCTCTGGGGATGCTTTGGCTTTGTGTGAGGAGCTGAGCTCTCCCCACCCGAGTGCAGCTCTTTATCCCTGTGTGTCTGCAGCAGCGAGGTTTGCAGTGGACAGGGGCAGTCGTGGGGCATCTTCCATCCCAGTGTGCTGCTGGCTTTGCTTTGGGTGCCCTGCAGATCTTAGGGGATGATGGGAGGTGGGAAACAGCATCCCCGGCCCTCATGTGCCAGTGTTGGGGGGTGGCAGCAGGGCCGAGTGCCTGGTCATGAGGGTGTAATGAGGGTGTGCAGTGGAGCCCGGGCAGGGTGGATGTAGTGTGCAGGGATGCAGGGATGCAGGGAGCGGTGCTGCGCTCCCGGCCAGGGACAGCTCCAGGGTGAAAGCAGCAGCACCCAGTCCTGGTGCGGAGCTGAAGCCTTTGGGTGGCCAGGCACTGCCGGGACTCACAACCAGAGCCCAGCTTCCCATGGCAGGGAAGGGACAGGGCAGTCACGGTCTCCTGCATCCCAGCGGGCTCTGCTGCTGAATCATGTTCCTCGGCCGGGGAGCAGGTCTGTCCAGACCGGGGAGCACCAGTGCCCACGAGCACCTGCCCTGGGGTTCCCTCCTGTTCCATCCAGGCACGGAGACCCAGCTCCCTCGTCCTGGCCCTCCAGGGCCAGCGCCACGGCTTCTGCTGGGCTTCAGGTTTAGCTGTGCCTGGGAGGATCCCGCAGGATCCAAACAAGCCTTTTCAGAGGGTCCCAGCCTGGTTTGGGATGGAAGGGACCTGAAAGCTCATCCAATGCCACAGGCAGGGACCCCTTCCACTGGAGCAGCTTGCTCCAAGCCCCTGTGTCCAACCTGCCCTTGAACACTGCCAGGGATGGGGCAGCCACAGCTTCTCTGGGCACCCTGTGCCAGCGCCTCAGCACCCTCCCAGGGAAGAGCTTCTGCCTAAGAGCTCAGCTCAGTCTCCCCTCTGGCAGGTTCAAGCCATTCCCCTTGGCCTGTCCCTAAGGCCCTTGTCCAAAGCCCCTCTCCAGGTTTCCTGCAGCCCCTTTAGGCACTGGAGCTGCTCCAAAGTGTCTTCCTTTGTGTGTCAGGTGCAGAACCAAAGGGACCCGCTAGTTCTTGTTGGTCCTGCATCTCCGCATCCCTGCAGGGTGAAGGGGAGCGCCTGCGAGGCGTCAGCATTAACGTGTCATGGGGTTGTTTTTTTTTTCCCCTTCTTCTTGCCCTGCAGGCTGCAAAATCAAAGCCCTCCGTGCCAAGACCAACACCTACATCAAGACCCCGGTGAGGGGCGAGGAGCCCGTTTTCATTGTGACGGGGAGGAAGGAGGACGTGGAGATGGCGAAAAGAGAGATCCTCTCGGCCGCCGAGCACTTCTCCATGATCCGAGCGACGCGCAACAAAGTGAATGGGCTGACGGGGGCGATGCAGGGCCCCCCCAACCTGCCGGGGCAGACCACCATCCAGGTGAGGGTCCCGTACCGTGTGGTGGGGCTGGTGGTGGGGCCGAAGGGAGCCACCATCAAGCGGATCCAGCAGCAGACGCACACCTACATTGTGACCCCCAGCCGGGACAAGGAGCCCGTCTTCGAGGTGACGGGCATGCCGGAGAACGTGGACCGCGCTCGGGAGGAGATCGAGGCGCACATCACCATGCGGACCGGCTCCTTCATCGACGTCAACGCGGACAACGACTTCCATTCCAACGGCACCGACGTCTGCCTCGACCTGCAGGGCAGCGCAGGCAGCCTCTGGGCCAAGGCCCCCCACCCTGCCCACCGCCCCCCAGCCACCCTGCGCAACGACAGCCTCAGCTCCCTGGGCAGCGCCTCCACCGAGTCCTACTACAGCGGGCGGGTGGCGGACGCCAGCCCCACCAGCCCCTACAGCACCAGCAGCGGCTTCACCTTCAGCGAGCCCGCGCTGGGCTCGGAGGAATGCGACTTTGGCTTTGACTTCTTGGCTCTCGACCTCACGACGCCCACCACCACCACCACCATCTGGTCGCCCTTCGAGCGCTCGGGCAACCCCTTGCAAGCCTTCAGCAGCTGCTCGTCCATCAACGGCTCTCAGAGACGCAACAGCGGCGCCGCCACGCCGCGCCACTCGCCCACCCTCCCCGAGAGCGGTGCCGCGGGGCTGGACCACCCTTTAGCCCGGCGCATCCAGAGCGACCCCGTCAGCACCTTGTCCTGGCTGCCCACGCAAGGCTCGCTGTCGTCCTTCTCCAACAGCACCGGTTACTCCTCTTCTTCCTCCCTGCCCGGCAGCATCTCCGCCGCCTCGGGCTCGCCCACCGACTCCAGCAGCTCCGACGGGCACCGCAAGAGCTCCCGGGAGTGCATGGTGTGCTTCGAGAGCGAGGTGATCGCCGCCCTCGTGCCCTGCGGCCACAACCTCTTCTGCATGGAGTGCGCCATGCGCATCTGCGGCAAGGCTGAGCCCGAGTGCCCCGCGTGCCACACGCCCGCCACGCAAGCCATCCACATCTTCTCCTAGCCGGGGCTGGCTCGTTTCCCCCCTGACCCCCACCACCACCACCACACACCCCCCCCACCTCCACCCCGGCTTTTTAAGGACTTGGAAAACTTGGAATCAACCTTTTTATTTAATAATAACGGATGCGATGGGTGCACGGGGTGGGGGGGGCGGGAGGAGGAGGAGGAGGAAAGGAGGGGGGGGGCGGCCGACATCCATGGGGTCGGGAGGGATGGGGATGAAGATGATGATGATGATGATGATGAGGGGCAGTGAGGAGGCATCTCCAGTGTTTACAGAATAGCTTTAAACCCACACCCCCACACCCCCCCCCCCAACCACCGGCCGCGGTGTGGGGCGGAGGAAGCCCGGCTGTTCTTCCACAGTCCTTCCCCAATAGCAGTATTCAGTTTGCAAAGTGAAATAAACAGAGAGAAAAGGTCCGCTTGCACTTTTTTGAGTTTTTTTAGGACACGCGAGGGTTGTCTTTTATTTTTTTAAAATCCTTCTCTTCAAAGTCTTTTTTTTTTCCCTCTTTTTTTTTTCTGTTGTCCTCGTTCCTTTTGTATAGCCTTTTTTTTTTATTATTATTATTGTTATTTTTGTCACCTCCATAGATATATATCTGTATATATTCTATTTTTGGGGTTGTAATGCAGGTCTTACCTTCTCTTCTGCCAATGTGAAAACTGCCCCCAAAACGTGGGACACGAGGGCAGGGCTCGGGGCCGTGGGGCCTCGCTGGCTGGAGGGATGCGGTGACCGCGCCACGTTGCAGACAGATGCTATCTCCTTTATCTTGTGCTTGGGTTTGGTGGGGTTTTGGTTGGTTTTGGGGGGCTTTTTGTTGTTTTTTTTTTTAGTTTTTACCTCTTTCTGTATATGTAGGGAATTTATAGCAAAATATCTACTTTATGGAATAAATTTTAAAGACTAAAATATATTTTATTTTAAATAAAAAGAAAATAACGGACCTTTAACCTTCCATGGCTAAAGTACTGATTATATATTTGCTGAGCTGACTTGACGGTTATGAAAATTGTATCAAGAGTTTTATTTTTTGACTTCAAAGCCTTCTTAATAAAGACTTTTTACTATATCCGAAGTCCTGTGCTCACTTGGGTCTCTTCCCTTGGCCCCGTCCCTTCCAGCAGCCTCAGGACCAGGCTCCCTGCTCGGGTTTGGCCCCTCAAATAGCGCAGGGCCTTGCTGCATCCCTGGGTGCCATCATCTTCAGGTGGATAATAAGGAATCTCATAGACATTAGGCAGAAGCTCTTCCCTGGGAGGGTGCTGAGGCGCTGGCACAGGGTGCCCAGAGAAGCTGTGGCTGCCCCATCCCTGGCAGTGTTCAAGGGCAGGTTGGACACAGGGGCTTGGAGCTGCTCCAGTGGAAGGGGTCCCTGCCCGTGACATTGGATGAGCTTTAAGGTCCCATCCAACCCAAACCATTCCATGATTTTATGACCCTTTTGGGAAGCACGAGCTACCAAAGGGCTGTCTGGGTGCCTGTTTTCTCCCCAGCTGAGAGCTCAGCTGGTGATGGAGGTCTCCATTGTGCCTATGGGCTGCACATGCTGTGATTTGTTAGCGAGCCACATGCTGCTGCCAGCCCTGGGGCCGTTGGGGATCCATCACTGGTTTCATCGGGAAGTGCCTTTGTGTATTCCCTGCTGCAGAATTGCACATGGGGGGTTTGGGGGGGGTGGTTCATCACCCTGCTGCAAGCATGTGCTGATCTGCTGCAGTGCAGCTGGCACCCTCAGGGATGGCTTTGGTATTCCTGGTGCTGGTGCTGTGTGGGGACCTGATGCCGGTTGAGGCCCCAGAGACAGAAGCGCCCATAGGCAGTGAGGACCCGATGATAACTGGGAGCCAAGGAGCAGCAGAGATTCACAGGCAGTAGCACCCATGGAAAGCAGCACCTATGGGTGCTTGGAACAGGCTGCCCAGGGCAGTGCTGGGATCACCATCACACACCATGTAGATGAGGCCCTCAGTGCCATGGGTTAGGGGTGGCCTTGATGACCTTGAAGGTCTTTCCCTATTTGGTTGATTGTGAGCCACAGACAGCAGCACCCATGGGTGCCATGGGGACCAATGGGCAGCAGCAGCTCTCAGGACACTGCTGGTGCCATGGCCACAGGTTTTCATCATCACCATTTTTGGGGGTCTCCTACATAGGAGAGGTCTTTAAGTGCCCTTCTTGGGCTCCTGGAGTGTCCTGGTGGGCTGGGTGGGAGCCCCAGATGAGACTTCTCAGGGTGTCCCAGGTTGGTGCCCTTCACGGCCCTGGGAGGGAGGGCTTGTGGGGCAGAACAAGGGGTGCAATGGGGCCCTGCATTTGGGTCTAGGTGCTTGTTAAAGACCGGGACGGGGAGGTTTTTGTGCCTCCCTGTGTGGCTCCAGGTCCCTGGGTCATTCCCCACTGGGTTGCAGGGTGCCAGATGGAGCATCAGCCACGGGTGCTGCTCCCCATCCTGCCTGCACACAGGGCACGCAGAGACCCACAGCCTGGCAAGCGCAGCACCTTGGCAGGGTGCTCCTCATGGGTGAGGAGGAGGGTTTGGTGCTGCCTGGGCACTCGTCTGTCCTGCTCCTTGCCCAACTGGCCTGGCTGCTTTTAACCCCTGCAGCCTGGCTCACGTTCATTCTCCTCCCTCTGCCCCGCTCCAGCACTGCCTGTCCAGGGCGCTTCTGCTGCGAGCAGGAGGCAGGAGAAGCTCTTGAGGGTGTCCAGAATCACCCCCCTGGCTGCAGAGCAGCCCCTAAACAGGGTCCTTGCCCCTGGATGTGTCCTGTGGGGTTGGAGGGTGCTGATGAAAGCAGGGGCAGAGGCGCAGCATCCGCTGTGCTGTGACCGAGGGGCCACCCTGGGCAAAGCCAGCTTTCTGTGCTTCAGCCATTGCAAGCTGCCACGTTCCAAACCAGCGGCCAGGATGGGACCAAAGCGCCCATGGACCTGCTTGAGTGCCACCCAAAGAGAGGAGGGTGGCTGAGAGATGAGCTGGCTGCTCCAGCAGGGATGCTCTTGTGTCCAGCTGGGATTTCAGACTCAAAACCATTATTGCCTTGTTGGGGAGCTGGACCAAGCACAGTTTTCACTCTCCCCAGCACGTGCAAGGTCCTGCCCCTGGGATGGGGACATCCCAAGCACAACGACTGGCCTGGGAACGTTGAATTGAGAGCAGCCCTGAAAAGAAGGACCTGGGGGCTCTGGATCAGAAGCTCAGCGTGGGCCAGCAAAGTGTTCTGGCAGCCCAGAGCCCCCCCTGTGCTGGGCTGCACCCCCAGAGTGTGAGCAGCAGCTCAGGGAGGGGATCCTGCCCCTCTGCTGTGCTCTGGGGAGAGACCCCCGCAGCCCTGACCCAGCTCTGGGGCAGCAGCACAAGAGGGACGTGGAGCTGCTGGAGTGAGATCAGAGGAGGCCATGGAGATGCTGCGAGGGCTGGAGCAGCTCTGCTCTGGAGCCAGGCTGAGAGAGCTGGGCTGGGGCAGCCTGGAGAAGAGAAGGCTCCTGAAGGGGAGACCTGAGAGCAGCTCCAGTGCCTGAAGGGGCTGCAGGAATGCTGGAGAGGGGCTTGGGACAAGGGCCTGTAGGGACAGGCCAAGGGGAATGGCTTGAACCTGCCTGAGGGGAGACTGAGATGAGCTCTTAGGCAGAAGCTCTTCCCTGGGAGGGTGCTGAGGCGCTGGCACAGGGTGCCCAGAGAAGCTGTGGCTGCCCCATCCCTGGCAGTGCTCAAGGCCAGGTTGGACACAGGGGCTTGGAGCAAGCTGCTCCAGTGGAAGGGGTCCCTGCCCGTGGCATTGGATGAGCTTCAAGGTCCCTTCAACACAACCCATTCCCTGATTCTATGACAAAGTCAAGACGAGCGGCATCAGATCCCCACAGAGGTGATTGACGCAGATTGATGTCAGCCATAGCTCCAGGTCCTGTCAGGTACCCAAACTGCAGCCTTGCTCTAAGCTCTCTCCGTGGAGCCGCCGGGCAGCGAGGTCCCAAGCAGCAGCGAGCCTTGGAGCAAACCAAACTCTCTGCTGCCCACTCTCGGGCATCCTTGAGCTCGGCTCCTCGCTTTCCCACCTACCCCTCCATGGGCGAGCTGCCTCTGCTCCCCGGTGATCCCAAGGTCGAGGCGCTGCAGGATGCATGGACCAAAGCCTATGGGTAGCGACCCCTGCTCCCCCCCATTCCTCCCCACACGTGGGGATGCTTCAATGGCTGCAGCGATACCGGAGGGTGCAGCACGAGGGGACATAGTCCCCATCACCCTCCCCATGTAATGCCTCTCTGGTTCCCCTTTTCCCCCTCTCCTGCCAGTCACTGCCCCCATCCGGGTGGGATTTGGGGGTTCCAGTGAAGTTCGGTTTGTTTCTTCTCCCTCCAGTTCCTCAGGGCTCCTCTGACCACAGGAGGGCAGATTTGGGGGAAAACCAGGCAGAAATGGGGCCAGGTGCAGGATGCTGGCACTCAGCAATGCCCAGGGTGAGAGCTCAGCATCACATTGGCCCCATGGCGAAGAGAGGGGTCCCCCTTTGTGGTCCTGGGTGCCCGGGTTTGCTGTGAGCAGCCCTGACCCTCAGGGATGGAGCCCCAGGACAGGGGTCCCCTGGGTAGCACACGGGGACCCCAACAAGAGCCCATCAGCACCAAACAGTTCTGGGAGCACTGCAAAGAGCTTGAGCCACCCCAGAGCCTCCTGGTACCTTGCTGCAGAGGCAGCTCGGGGCCACCCTCACCCTGCACCTCTCCTGCAGCCAGGAGCGCTGCAGCCCCAGTGGCACAGGGATGTTCTGCTGGGAAACAATCCCTGCCAGGTACCATCTCTCTGTCCCTCCATCCATCCATCCCTCCCTCCATCCATCCATCCCTCCCTCCCTCCATCCATCCATCCCTCCATCCATCCATCCATCCATCCATCCATCCATCCATCCATCCCTCCCTTCCTCCATCCCTCCATCCATCCCTCCATCCATCCATCCATCCATCCCTCCATTCATCCCTCCCTCCATTCATTCATCCCTCCATCCATCCCTCCCTCCATCCATCCCTCCCTC